AGGAATAACGCGTTCGTAGATACACTGCTGACATCCGTGCACAATCTCTTCGGGACAGTAGCAGGGACACTCTTTCCACTTAACACAACGCAAGTAGGGCCACCAGATGCAGGCTTGATAACCTCAAGGTTTCGAAGACACAGTCCACACTTTGTGTAACTCATCTTAGTTTAAGTGATATGTGAAATGCCGTTCACCATACATTTTATATACACGGTAGTTTGAATACAACCGGTTTAAAACCTGTCAACTTCGTCAATACCAATAATTAACGAGTCTAACCAGTACCAACAGGTTTTACAAAATTCATTAGGATGCAAAATAGCTCTTTCAATGCGTTCTCTTTCCTGCTGTGGATAATCAATCCAGTCTTGCTCATACGGTACCAGTAAATCCAGTATGTCTAGCAAATCATGCCATAACCAGTAACGACGCGACTCACATTGACTGAGATCTGTAAACGCAAAATCTAGATTTGACGACAACGTCTGATTGTCTTGAGCTGATGTTGGATTCGTTTTCTTCAGATCATCGTAGATTCAAAATGCTAAGCATATTCCAGTAGGCCTCTTTTGTCCTTTCATAGTTTACTTCTGCACCATAGTCAATGTGATCTTCATTGAGATTTGTTTCCATGGTGCAAAGTTAAGCAAAAGAATACAAAAGATACCCAGTGCATCCCAGGTTTATCATAAGGATCCGTATTTGCAAACAGTCCAGAAGGATACTTGTTAACAATAGGTAACTTGTCTCTCGGGTAGACACCTGGCATAAGAAGAGCCAAAATGGGATCTTGAAGTGCCGCTTGCCATAACTCAAAAGTGGTATGCACTGTGTTGTTTTTTAAGCGCCTTGAGACAGGTCGCATCCCACGCGTCTGTAACGGTCAATTTCCAACTGATTTTGAAATTCTGCGTACACGATTAAATTGACAACAGCTGGAGTTGGAGTGTCAAACTTCAAATACAAATTGACCTTACCACTGCTGTCAGGTCTAGTCTGAACAAACCATACCCTTGCTCCCAATCTTTACGATCAATATCCAACCCATGACCGCAGTTCATATCTCCACTGCCTGAGAACGAGGTGTTGTAGCCATAAATCTTTTTTGCAACTTGCTGCAATCTGGCGCAACTTGGTGCAGATTGGTGCGGTGTGGTGCATCTCGGTGCAGATTGGTGAAGACTGGTGAAACTTTGTGCAGTTTGGTGCAGCTTGGTGCAACTTGGTGCACTTAGGTTCAACTTGGTGCAGTTTGGTACAACTTGGTGCAATTTGGTGCATTTTGGGGCACATTAGTGCAGTTTGGTGCAACTTGGTGCAGCTTGCTGCAACGTGGTGGAACCTGGTGCAGATTAGTGCAACTTGGTGCAGTTTGGTACAGATAGGTGCAACTTGGCGCAGTTTGGTGCAGCTTGGTTCAACTTGGTGCACTTTGGTTCAACTTGGTGCAGTTTGGTTCAGAATGGTGCAACTTGGTGCATTCTGTTGCAGACTGGTGCAATTTGATGCAACTTTCTGCAACTTGGTGGAACTTGGTGCAGTTTGGTGAAACTTGGTGCAACTTGGTGCAGTTTGGTACAGATAGGTGCAACTTGGCGCAATTTGGTGCAGCTTGGTTCAACTTGGTGCACTTTGGTTCAACTTGGTGTAGTTTGGTGCAACTTGGTGCAGTTTGGTGCAACTTGGTGCAGTTTGGTTCAGAATGGTGCAACTTAGTGCATTCTGGTGCAATTTGGTGCAACTTTCTGCAACTTGGTGGAACTTGGTGCAGTTTGGTGAAACTTGGTGCAACTTGGTGCAGTTTGGTCAAATTGGTGCCACTTTGTGCAACTCGGTGCAACTTGGTGCAGATTGGTGCAACTTGGTGCAGTTTGGTGCAACTTGGTGAAACTTGGTGCAGTTTGGTGCAGATTGGTGCAACTTGATACAGTTTGGTGCAACTTGGAGCAGGTTAATGCAACTTTGTGCAGACTAATGCAACTTAGTGCTGTTTGGTGAAACTTGGTGCAGATTGCTGCAACTTGGTGCAGTTCGGTTCAACTTAGTGCAGTTTGGTTCAGATTGGTGCAATTTGGTGCAGATTGGTGCAGATTGGGGCAACTTGGTGCAGTTTGGTGCAACTTGGTGCAGTTTGGTGCAACTTGGTGTAGTTTGGATCAACTTGGTGTAGTTTGGTGCAGATTGGTGCAACTTGGTGCATTTTTGTGAGGGTTGGTAAAATTTGGTACAACTTGGTGCCGCTTCCTGCAACTTGGTGCAGTTTGGTGCAGATAGGTGCAACTTGGTGCAGT